CTCGGCTGGTTTGTCTTCATCGATCTTCATGTCCGAGTCCTCTTCATCGTCCGCGGTCTTAATAGCCTTTGTGCCCTTTTGCGCAGCTTCAGCTTCCTCAAGATCCTCTTGGGCGTCGTCCAGTTGGAGCTTGGCAAGCTCCGCTATCCGCTCAAACTCTGCCTCATCCAGGGTATACTTCTGAGGGAAAGGCGCAGCGAAGCCCCTAGGGACCCACTGTGCGGCTGTAATCATGGAAGACATGGTGATTGCCTGGGTATCTTAAATGGTGTTGTGAAAGTCCAGCGTGCATCGGTAGGTGGGCGCCCAGATAAATTTCTCCCAAAAATTCTAGTGGGGTTTATCGATAAGAGGTCAACCCATTAGGGGACCTTCGCTACCTAACGTTAGGTGACAGGGGTCCAGAAGATAGTGGAGGGGAGGCAAGAAATCTTAGGAATTCAATCCTATACTGATGAAAAGATTTGGGCTACTAGTAACCTTTATATCATGATATTAAGAACTGAGGCAAGTGAGAACTATGGTATGATTTATGAAGACATGACCATGACCCTAAAATGACGTGCTCTACAGAGCTATAAGTAACCAAGCTCAGGTTAGAATAATAGAAACTCATCCAAGGCGCCGCTTAAAACCCCCTACCGCGTCTCTTTATAACAGGCTTTTTGACTGCACCTTGTGTTACGAACTTCTTACCGTCTGCCCCTATCTTCTTGCTCTTCTTTTGAGTCCGGTCTTCTTCCATCTGCTTCCTTTCTTCGTCCTTCCGCTTGTCATCAGCCATCTTGGCCTCAATCTCCATCTTTCGGTTGAATTCTGTTTCAGTGATTCGTTTATCTCGAACCGAATAACCCTTTTCCTTGACTGAGTAGAAGACACCACCGAGATCTGCAAGCCAGTGGGGGTCCACGGCTGTCACTGTCGAAACATAGACCTTGGAAGTAAGGATCAACTCGTGGTAGACGATGTAATCCGGTGGGTGCCCTGCATATAATGCGCTTGTTGGGTGCAGCTGTACACCGAGGTTGGTACGCAGGTTGATATATTCGCCTGAGCCTTTGTATTTGGCTGCTTGGTGGTAGTATCCCGAGCAAATGCACTTGCGGACAATGTCCCAGTCCATCCCACAGCTTGTCAATTCCATCTTTTGCATACGGACAATGTCCAAAAGCTGTTCACGAATTTCCTTGGCTCGCCTTAAAGATTTCGGGTGCAGAAAGTGCTTAACACACCAACCGTCGGAGTAACCGTTGGCCTTCCAATTTGTGTAGACCTGGAGGTATGTCAAATGATCTGACTCATGCACCCAGAATTTCTCGCGGGCAGCATCGGCTTCTTCTTGTCTCTCCTTTGGTCGGTAAAAAACGTTTGGCACGGACAGCATAGAAACAATGGTAATCATCTCTTCACTGCAGCCGTATTCTTCCGCTGTAATGAGAAGCTTGGCCAGCGAGGGATCCATGGGGAAAGCACTCATTTTCCTTCCAAGATCAGTAAGCTCACCGAGATTGTCAAGTGCACCAAGAGCCCATAAGTCAAACATTGACGTTGTAATAGTGTCCTGTGGAGGAGGGTCCATAAAGTCAAAGTCCAAAAGGTCCTTGACGCCGAGAGATTTCAACATCAGGACAGTGTTAGCAAGATTCGTGCGCTGGATTTCAGGGATAGTCTGTAAGTACAGATCTTCCTTGAACTCCTTTTCTGAGTACAGTCGAAAGGCCTTTCCAGGCCCGGTTCGACCGGCTCGTCCTGAACGCTGCGAAGCGTTGGCCTGCGAGATGGGCGTGATCTGAAGCGTGTCCATGCCGATTTTCGGATTGTAGACTTTCATCTTGGAGTAACCAGCATCTACGACGTATTTGATACCATCGACCGTTAAGCTGGTTTCAGCAATATTGGTGGCAACAATGCATTTTCGGACACCAGGGGCAGCCTTGTCGAAAATCTTGGCTTGCAGATCTGCAGGCATTTGACTGTATATAGGTAAGATACTCAGCTTTGGGGGGTCATTGAGGGCATCAAGTCGTTTTTGAATAAGCTCGCAAGTGATCTCGATGTCTTCTTGGCCTGTCATGAATACCAGAATATCGCCAGGGCCCATTGAAACATGGATTGACAACACTTGGTGCACTGCCTGGTCCACATAATCCTCGACGGGAGACCGATGGAACATGACGTCGACTGGGAAAGTTCGTCCAGGAATGATGAACTCGGGTGCACCACCAAAGAAGTCTGAGAAGCGTTTTGAGTTCATGGTGGCCGAAGTGACGATGAGCTTCAGGTCACGACGCCTCTGTAATATCTTCTTGAACAAACCCATCAGGATATCTGTGTTTAAGGCACGCTCGTGGGCCTCGTCCATGATGACACATGAATATCGATCTAGATCAGGCTCGTTGAGGGATTCTCGCAAGAGAACACCATCAGTCATGTACTTGATGACTGTCTCTTTGCTGGTGCAGTCTTCAAAGCGAATTGCATAACCGACCGTGCTTCCTAACTCAACCTCCATCTCTTCAGCAACACGCTTGGCCACACTCATTGCAGCCACGCGTCGCGGTTGTGTACATCCAATCATGCCGGTCTTTCCATATCCATCCTCTTGGAGGAACTGTGTCAGCTGTGTCGTCTTGCCAGAACCTGTCTCACCAACACAGATGACAACTTGGTTTTCTCTAATGACACTGAGGAGGTCTTCACGAACTGCAAACGCGGGCAGATACTCCCGTTGCTCCCGTAGGGTCTTGCTCTGACTGAAGTTACTCGCGCCGTCGGCCTTCTTCATATGTGCGCTGAATTTATTACCCTTGCGCTCACTCGGTTCGGCGTTATCCTCAGCAGGTACTGGTAGTGCAGAATCACCGTCTTCCTCTTTTGCACCCATAATATTTCCAAGAGTCGTTCCGGTCATACTTGTGGCTTCCTTGGCCTGCCGTTGACGTTCTCTCTGCTGCCTTGCTTCCTTCACCACCTTACTACCCTTGCGACTGAAAACCGCCATGTGACTCTGAGGGTCTTTGACGGCTGGAATTGGTTCTAGTTGCTTTGTGAAAATAGTCCGTCCGTCCAGAAAGGGTGGCCGTAGATCGTGCACAAGAAGATGAACTCGAATCGACTCGTCATCGTCAACAAAGTCGGATGCCATATCCCGTCTTTGCGCGACGCCTGATTGCAGCATTCGGTTCGTTTCCCAAGCGTCATTCTCTCGGTTCCTCTGGTCTCGTCGCGCGTCGAAACGACTAGTCATCTTTTCGTGTCGGGCGGTTTCCTGTTGCTGTCCTTCCCAGGTGTCGTAAGAGGCGAATGGGTTATGGGCTTCATCTCCAAAGCTGTGGCCGCCAAACTCATCACCTCCGTACCAGTCTCGGTCTAACGCCTTCGAATCCTCCTCGGTCGGTCCTATACTTCGGGGTGGTGGTGTGGAAGCATAACGCGATTGTGCCCTGTGGGGAGTTGAGGTGCGCGAATCATTCTGAAATCTTTGTCGAGGTGTATCAAGTCGTCTCCTCTTTGGATTTGGGTTATACCCATCGTACTCTCGATCCTCCGCCATTGTGTTGACTTGTAAGTTATCTGTCGATGCTTGGACTTTTTATTGCGACAGGAACCTTGGACTCAGATAAGCAAGCCGATAATGATCACGTGAATACTGCGATTCAAACGTAAGTACGTGGGCAGGATAACTTCCATGTCGGCTAAAATGCATGGAGGTATCTCACAAAGAATCAAAAACTATATATTTGTCTAAGAAGCCCTTGAGCGTAACTTTAAATATGCCACAGGATAGGATATATCTGTTAGACCAAGCCAAAACTCGGGGAACCCCTCGCTATGGCAATGTCTTCCTATTGTATACTAACAATATCGGGTCTTATGAATGTCAATGCTTGGACAATCAAGACACAGTAACATGTGAGGCTCGTCTTGATGGAAACCCCTTTCTGTCTACGCTCTGATTGAGTATACGAGTACGTGATATTGCGGCACTCCTTCCTGGAAACACAGGTTATAGAGGAACAAACTGATTCAAGTATTGGACTTTTATCATGATTTTGTTACATAGGCTTTGTGTCATGTCTCACTACTGCCAATTCTCAACGAGTAACAACAAAGTCATTCTCGTCCTCGATGATTTGCCTATCTTCCTGGGAGACTCTAACCACGCGAGCAGATCTTGGGCCATTGTCTACATCCTTGAAGAATTTGGATAGGACTTCTTCACTGGCTTGAGCCTCGCCCTCGACCTGTGAAAGCTCTATATTAGCTAATGTCAACTTGCCGGGGGCTTATATGCACTTTTCCATCCTTCGTGTTTCGACACCATCCCGTCACTCCGTACTCTTGGGCCTTCTTCTGGGTAAAATAACTGTTATGCATCAGATGCGATGTCTCGAGATTTGTTATCGCAGAGAACCATACCGGAAACCAACACCTAGATGACGTCAGTTCGAATGAATACTACCTTAGTACATAGTATGATAGAAATAGACATACCTTGGACACGTCCCTCAACGGCAAAATAGACCTTTTGAAAGATTAGCTCTGGCTTTATAATCGTTGTGGAAGATGGCTCACACGTTTCGACATATTGGCAAGTCACAGTTTAATCGGTCATATATACTAAGGTTATTGTAGAATAAAAGTCAAGCTTGAAGCGAGGAGGATTGAAGAAAAGCTAGAGCTTCTTAGCAATTGGGAATAAATATGGAAACACAATGATTTTCATCGCCTGCGAGATATGATCTAACCTTTATGTCAACTGCTTGCTACCTATCTAGCGGATATGTTGGGTTTAATAGGTGGCTTACAAGGTGGAAAATAAGTGTATGGGCGCAGAGTTTAGGTTGATGTTGATAAGATAAGCTTTGGATCTCCACTGATGTCACTTCCATATCAACTTCGTGCGCTTCCACTGACTAAACCAACACCTTTATCTCTTGTTTGCGCCGCGAAGATATCACTTGTTACAAGGCCCGCTCGCAGAACACATCGAAATATTGATGGAAGTCCACTCCTCGGAACCGGCTACAGAGCCCGTCCGATTCCGCACTGGCAAAAAACGAAAAGCCTATCGCCAACGCGTCCAGCAAGATGACGCCTCTGTCGCAGAAACAATACAATCGCATCCCACTGCGTCTGCCTCAGAACCCAGTCATGAACTCTCCCGAAACACTTCACCAGATCGCGCCCAAGATGAAGAAGAATCTGTTGTTGCTGCACTCAAGTTGCGCAATGCGCGAAGAGCCCGACTTGGAGGTGTCGCATTTCGAAACACAAACCGACCAGACGACGATATGAACAACGAGCGTGCTCTCATTCCACACGACGCAGATGGTACTTCGAATAACGAACCCATCGTGAAAGGAGTTGCAGATAGATTTACTCACCAGACGGGCAGACTTACAGATCTTAATGACAAGCATATGTACGTTGAGGGCCACCGTCTTCGTCATTCTTCCTCACCCTGCAATGGCTAATCATTCAAGGATGGATTACATAGAATCCCGATTATATAATCGCGCGGGCGGAAATACCTCACACAACACTTTATCAGCGTCTACATCAGACCCGGCTCGGCAACCTTCTGCAACAACAACAGCAACAACAACAACAAACCATGAGAGTGGACGGGCAGTAATGCAGGGCCAGTTGGTGGAGATCAGTCTCGAAGACCACTCTGCTCGAGGTGAGAACCCTGTTCAGGCAGATAGTGCTACAGATGGCGGACCAAGAGCCAAGAAGCCTAGACTTAGAAAGGATGGCACGCCATGGCGTCCGCGAAACCGTCGAGATAGTGACGCCCTCAAACGAGATCAGATCGTTGACGAGATTCTCCATGAAACAAGACGTATGTCCCTGATGTCCATGTTCCTCGAATTAGCTACTAAATCATTGTTCCTAGTCGACTTATACGAACCGACTCCAGGACAAGACAGCCACACTGCAGTTGCCGATCAGGATGGTGCCGCTGATGCGCGGCTCGCCGAAGAGTTCCGGCAGCAATTCCTTGAGGATGTAGCAGAACGACAGCTTCGCAAAAAGAAGGCAACGAACCAAACAACGCGCCCCGGTACCGAGGAAGTACTCAAAGGCCCCAAACTCGGTGGCAGCCGTAACGCTAGAGCTCAGATGAGAGATCTTTTGTTGAAGAAAGAGAAGGAAGGAAAGAAATAGTATGGACCGTTGAGCTATGTATGGCCTCTTTTCATCTGCGGCGTTGGATGGTTCTGATTTTGCAGCTCTTTTGTATCAGTTAAGGATTCACACACATGGATCGCATCACCTTATGATCACAAAGATACTCAATTATAAACGACATCTTAATCTTGTAAGCGTAACCATAACAATTCCGTTGAACTCTTGAATTCATATTCATATTGACTACTTAGTCTGCAACGATCGATAGGGGTGGGGGCATTTTGATCCAACGATCTGACCCATGTGAAGAAAGTAGTCCTAAAAGAAAATCTCAATGATAAGCTCCCGACATCCAAGTCTGTGTAGTCGCAAGAAGACGGCCAATGAAATAAGAAAAAGCACTTAGCAAAAACTCCTTTACCCAAGTCCCATATATAGCAATTTTCCCAAGTGTGCAGGGCAAGGCCCAACATTGAAATGAATGAACATTCAGTCGCTTGGCACAATAGGTATCGATCCAGTGCCGTAATTCGCCTTCCGTCTTGCTCATGTGCAAGATCATTTGACTTCCGTCATTTGCCAGAACGCCAAACCCAATGTAATGTTAACCGTCAGAGAACCCCATGCGTGAAATCTTGACCGGTGTAATGGAATGTGAGTTCCGGAAAACCCTTTATCTAATGTCGAGCTGGAAAGGCTTGAACCGCCCGCCAATTGTAGCACAGCGGGGACACTTCCTTCTTGCTCCATGCTCTGTCATGAGAACCTCCACACAAGTTGGGCACAGGCCACAGATACATTCGGTACATGCATACGAATCCTTGAGTAGAGAGAATCCCTGACAGGCAGCGCAGTATATCTGAATATTCTGGGCCGAATATGTTGGTGACGAATCAGAAAGCCCCCGGGTTCCCATATGAAAGTTGTCGCCGCTTTCACCACTCTCCACAGATGGAAATGGCTCTACAGCATCCTGACCATATGATGGAGGCGTGAGTGCCTGCTGAAGAGGCGAAGCCTGATAACTGGCCGGCTGGAACTGAGGTTGGTGGGAAAAGGGCGGTAACGATGATCTATGCATTGAAACAGGAGACTGAGGGACCTGAGAGCCTGTTAGTCAACTCAACAGTGCAAGGGCGAATATCATCAGTAGGTGCACATACAGGAGTACGGTCTTCGTCAATATCGCCAGCAGCAGAAGCAGCTTGATCAGCTGCATCGATAAGATCCTCCCACCGCTTCCCGAAGTCTGCGGATGGTTCTGCTGACAAAGCCTTCCGATCATTACCTGGTCTATATCGCTCTTCATTTTGAATTCGGCGAAGCCAGTCAGTTGCAGAACCTTTAGAGTTCTTCTTTTTGTGGTGAGGCTCTCTTCCTCGCTTTGTAACAGACTGCTTGCGAGGTCGGTTAGGTCCCACAGAACGCTGAAGAGGTGGGAGTGTTGAGGATCTTCCAGGTGGTGAGTTTGCCAGAATGGAAGGGAGAAAGTCGCGCTGTCTATTAGATTTGGCAGATGAATAAGGGTCGCTAGTAATATCATGATTGGAAAGATTGAGAGGCGGCAGTTCGATGGATGTCCGTGGCCTACGTCGAACATCCATGTCTGAATAATATTCCTACGCATCATTAGCCCTGGATGGCGATGATTTGAATTCTTTTAAGGGCATTTCACTCACACCGTCCAAATCCATGTCGCGTTCACTCTTGACGCCATGAAGTTCGGCTAGGGCAGCAGCGGCACTGGCTGTGCCAAGCATTGGGCCAGTAACCGGCCCGCCATTACTGAAATCATCTAGAAGGCGCGGAGTGCCTGGATTACTCGATTCGTCGCGATGATAGTTGTGTCGCTCGTGAAAGCCTTGGAGGTGGTCAATGGGCGGGGGCAGGCTGGAGTGAGGGTGGGACAAACCCTGAGCATTTGGAGCTGAGGTCTGATCTAAAGGGCGTCGCTCCGATGGTGGAGTGTTAATCATCAACAAGAAGCTCTCTTCTGTGGCTGGAAGCTTCGAGATGTAATGCTCGGGGTGTGCGCGGCGGATATGCTCCTGCATGGAACGATATCTTTTTTCCTGCAATTGAACATTTAGAATCGAATGGGTACCGTTGCACGGTGTTACGGGAACGTGCTTCCTCAGTTGGGGAACAAGTGCGGTAGGTGGTAAGACATGACGATATAAGGTGGGTGGGTGCAGCAATGGTAATTTAAGACCAGCTGCAGGGCAAGACAGGGCAGAACAGCTAACGAAGGCAATACCCAAGGACTTACACCGATGCATCTCTTGCGACAGCTGGAGCCATCCTGGTTGCGAAGAGGGCAGACTACCTCATTGTTGGAGTCTGTGATAGAGAAAGACGACGTCAAAGATGATCGAGGCGGCATCTTGACCCCACCATACGTGATGGCTTGCTGGCGGGGGGTACTATAGCGATAAGAGACTGAGAAGCGAGATAAGAGATGATAGCGATGAAGCTCAGCTTTCAACGAGAAGATCAATTGGTGACAATGAAGGTATGCAAAAACCGTAACATTTCAAAGTGCAGCTCATGGACAATGGAATGAGCTGCCTTTGAGCATGGGCAAGCTTTGCTACAGGGACCGTTTCGAAATTGGGCCAATTATGCGACAGTGGTTGCGTACACGATTGGGGCGTCGATTGAGGTGGTGATGGAGGCAGTTACTAGGGAAGCGATGAATCCAATCTCTGGTTAAGAATATCGATAACCGTATGTTGAAGAGTCTAAGTTGGGAGAGACGCGAACAGAAATATTCGATCGAGAAGGTCGCTTCTTTGAGAAAAGGTGGGTTGCAAAGAAGGATGTATGGAAGGGAAGGAGGGTGAGTGGGAGGAAGAAAGTAAAGGTAGGTAGGTGCAGGTAAGTAAAGATGACAGGAGCTTGGGAGGTCGAAAAAAAGAAGAGACGGAAGAAGGTGGGAGGCAAAGACGCCTTTTGGGTAAAGCGTGTGAGTGAGTAATAAGAGCAACAACGCAATGGGTAGCGAAGAAGGTAACGGCCAGAGAGAGGCAAGAGGAGGGTGTGAGTCGTTGAGTGTGTGGTGTGCGGTGCTGCCGAGGGAAGCTGAGCTCGATGATCTGGATGAGAGCTTTGGCCGACCTTGGACAGGCATTGAATGTGCTTTGCTCACACATCACCAGCACCAGCATCCAGATATTGGTGACAACTGCACAAATACCTAATACTACAAAGAAGCTCACAAAAAGGTGAGCGCAAGGAAAATATCGAGGGCTTGAAAAAATTACCAACAACTAGGTACCTAAAGGCAAAAAAACTCTGGTGGCAGAGGGCGTGTGGGCAACAGAATCAAGGCCAGTAGCGAAAGATTCCGCGCAAACAAGACTCTGTCTGGTTTAATGTCCATTCATTGCTCACTTGACAAGGGACCACAGCCTGAGCTCTGGGCTCCTCCTCCGGCTGCCATGCCATTGCTTGCAAAGCCATGCCTTGCGCTTCGCCTCCACTGTTGGAGATCTCAGCTGCCTCGAACGACTTGATCTCTGGGGCCAATAGTATTGACGCACAGTTCTGGGGTGCGGCTACAAGAAGCTGTCTAATAGCCTTCTGGGCCTACCAGAAAACAACAGAAAAACTTCTCCAGCTTCCATTCCATCCTTCTATGAGCTCTGTATGGCCACAGCAAGACATGGTAAAAGTCCTGTGGCTCCTTGAGCAAGCTGACGAAGCTTCGATCTTGCAGACTCTCAAACTCTGTAGTGACACAGTCATTCCCAAAAAAGATTCTCCAAGCGTCTGTAACATCCAGTAGCGAAGCACAGCTTCCAAGCAGAAGCATCAGCAGCTCACCAGAGCATGGCCCAAGCGCTGCGCGAACAAATCAACTGGCTACCATTGCAATGACTCGAGAGGGGCTACAGGGGTGAAGGCAGTGAGAAGAGGGGGGTGGCCGGCGTGGAGCTCTTCTCTGGACGGATGGAGGTCAAGAACCCAGGCCTTTGACCCAAAGAATGCCGCCTGAGAAAGGTGCAGAAGCTCCCTAGAACGTGCAGGGGAAGCTCCAATAGTGGAACTGGTCCCTTGCTCAGGTTTGTTGAAGATCTTTTCTTTTTACTGGTGGTAGTGCTGATAAAGTTGTTACATTATGGCATGAATACATACATACAGAGGTTCCCGCCTCTCTGCAACACGTCCTTCCCATCACTACCAATCATATTCTCTGTTTTGAGCTTCTTTTTGTTTTTATCGGCTTCAGCAATTATCCGGCTGCGACAGATCCTAATCAATGTCGCAGGAAAAAGGCCGGCGTCTGAAGGGTTGGCCATGTCAAACATGACCAGGGTCGGCGGGGCCGAAGCCTATGGCCAACTGCCACTCACAGATACCGTTCCTAAGCCAACTCCGGACGTGGTTATCACATGTACATGATAGGTACCTCTGCATGACTCTCGCCACGGCTATGGCCACGGGACCTCGACTACACAGAACGGTCGTCACTGCCAGCTGGAGCTCAAGCCTTCACCTACACCAGCTACTAATCCAGAGCTAGAACTGCGAATGTTGATGTGGCGTTTGAGATTCGGCGATACGCAGGCGTGGGCGTCAACAGAGTCAGCATCGGAGTCGTCGACGGCAGCCAAACTTTCAAACCTCTCTTTGGCTTCAGGGGTATCCCATCTACGCCTCAAGGAGCATATTGTCTTCCAAGAAGAGCTGGTAACTGACAAAATGAGGTTGAGAATGCAGGCTACAGGCTGCAAAGGACCCAATGATATACGGACGATTGAGAGCCGATCTTTGACTCAGCTTCAGCGACGATGGAGAATTAAACGCCTGCAAGCCCTGTCACCACGCTCCCGGGTCTTTTGAGACGGTGACATCACCAGCCAGGGGATACCGCCCGTCGCCCTACAGCACGGAACCGGCGGGCGTGCGCAGCCAGTCCGTTAATGAAGGGTCTTTCGACCTCGACGGAATTGCTCGCTCAGATTGACCAACGCACGCTATGCCATTCACATCTACTTGGAAGGCGGTGAATTCTGATCTCTGAAACACCCAAG